ACCAGGAGAATGAATGAGGAAATAGAATGAGCTAATGCACCGGAGAGTAGGTGCGGAGAAATGTTGTCAGAAAAGAAAATGGGGGAGGAGAACAGACATAGGAGTAGCGCTGGTAAAGAAAAGCCTTTGAATTTGATGGTTGCAGGAAGTGGTGGGAAGACGGTGTAGAGGAGGAGCTGGACTTCGAGGCAAAGGTGGCTTTGCAAGTGGAGCTGGAGAAATGGAAGAGGAGGTATAATGTATCGATGTCTGCCATGCGACCTGAAGAGATTGAGGAGTGGGGGGTGGGAGACGGAGTGGAGGAGGTGGATAAGTTTGAAAGAAGGCGGCGTGGAATTAAAGGTAAAATTCCTGCAGAAGGCCTGACATATTGGCATAGACCTCGATTGATGATACAGAAGAAGAGCAAGCAAAATAAATATGAGAAGTGATGCAAGTGACCAAAATGTAGGAGATGCTAACGAGAGTCAGTGTACGTTTTAGATGCATTGTTAGAAAGAAAACAGAAGAATCTGTTGGAAACCTATTTGAAAACAGTGGCGGTGGTCCTCCCTGAGGAGTGAGTTGTTGTGGTTGTTCCAAAGGAGTTGCAGGAGGGGAGAGAGGAGGATGGAAGAAGTGTACTTGGCCACAAAACAGGGGAGGCACAGAATGTTGCAAACTGCTGATACAGGCTAACTGTAGTCAATGCGAGCGAGACTGACGTAGTCGCTCATTTCGTAACATTAGAAGACTGAACCTCAGATGAATCTCAGAAAACATCAACGCATTGTTTCATCAATTATCTCATGTTTTGTAAATTCCTGCTAGAACCACATTTGAGAGTCTCTGAACACCCTAGCCCCCATTCACTACAAATATCTGGCATCTTCCTTAAAGCTTCCATATCTTTAAAAACAATGAATCCAACAATAGAGCTTGTTTCTGGAAGGCTCACACTTTCATCAGTACTTTCACTAGAAGTAAAATCAGCTTTAATACCCATTTTCTTTTTCTTCTTTTCTCTGCCTTTCCTTCTTTGAACCCAAAAACCTTGTTCCAAGCATGGAATTATAGTGTCCAACAAGCAAACCCAATATTTTATTTTTCTTTAACTTCTTTTTTCATTATTTTTCTCGAGATCCTTCTTTTTGTCTTTTACTATGTTTCTTGTTCTTCTTCTTTTTTACTTTCTCCTTACCTGTACTGGAGAGTGTCCTTTTTACTAGCTTGTCAATCTGTTCACCTGTGAACTTTGAACTAAAGATTCCCAGATCAAGACTTGCCACATATCCAGTTAAAACCAGCTCCTGGAACACAAGTACAACATAGTATCATGTACAATTGAGTTACAAGTCCCTAATGTATTCACATATATGCAAACTTACCCCTCCAATTTGTCATTATTTAACAGGTACACTGATAACTGCTTAGCCAAGTATAATTCTTTGTCGTACTTCCATACAGACTTTCCTGAAATCTTTACTCTTTGAGAAATGCCTGATAAAGATACCAAAAAACAATAATTTACCAAATTGAACAGGTCTTGAAAACGAAAATATTCACCCTTGCTACAATCCATACGAGTAGCTACTTCACAAAAATTAGACCTGTTTCAAGAGCTTTCTCATGCAATTCAAATTTATTTCAAGTGCAACCAAAAGAGTACCATATGTGAGAAATATGAATACATAAAATTGGCATTGAATATTTGAATGTCTCTTTTTACAGAAATCAGTTCACCCTGTTAAAAACACTCCTTGAATTTCATTATAACACTGAAAAAAAATGTACGTAATAAGACAAATATCTACATTACCATCAAGATTACAGAACAAAATCATTACGTTTTGGTATCACAATTTTCTTATATGCTTTCACTAGGTGAAATTTTAATACTAACTTCTCTACACTGATTAAATTCATCCACTTCGTGCAAATGGATATTATATATCAAGTGTATTAATAAAAGTTAAGCATTCAGATACTTCATTGCAAATTTTCACAATTTGTATTCTTCACAAAGAAATTATTGATGCAATTCTTTTTGCCCCAAATCTGAACAATAAAAAGTTAATACCCAAATGGCCAATATTACAGCACTGTACTGGTTGTCTTCGTGACATCTAGTCTGATTCCCATCTCTTTCTTTGAATTACATTTCAATGGCCATGTCTGATTGAAAACATAAAAGAAACGACAATGAATAGTACAAAAGCTTGAAAGTGCTTCATTATTAATCTTAAACTCCCAACTGCATATTGGAACATAAAATAGTTATTAGAAACATATTCCACGCAAGAACAAAGAAAAAAATTCCAATTTATCAAAGCTCTCTGCACATCTTGCTACCTATAAAAAAAAATATATATATATACAAGCTGATGTGTTAGCAAATTAATGACAATTCATCTCTGCAAGTCAAAAATAAATACAGCAAAGTAGTCGCTACAATTAACAAAAATAATAATATTAATAATATAATGAATAATAATAATAATAATAGATAATATAAAAATCGAGGTTGCACATATTTTCCCCAATCCAGAAAAAACACCCATTATTATTAATAAACCATTATTAAAATATATATAAAAAAAAACTTGAAAATATAAATATGTATACAAATATAAATGTTATAAGTCTAATTTTTAAAATATTGTTAAAATAAGAATTTAATACTTGTATAAGTGTATATATAATTTTTGGAACATAAATTATTGTAGATCAAAAAGTTTACAAAGTCTTTAAAACGCGATTCCTATCACGATCCCCCATTGGAGATCTAAACAATTTTATATTCAGTACTGCATGAAAAACATATATTATAGCAATAGTACTTGATTCTACTGTTGGATGTGCATGAAATAAGCAGAAACATTTTTTCTTGAAGTATGTAAGAAGTGTCACGAGTGCAGGTCGCATAGAGTGTGACGAAATATTAAAAGAAAACGTGTAATATTTCCAGAGATATTTGTATGTGACACACTTGTGTCATTCCGATTTCTCATGGAGATAGTGAGTGACAGTGTATTGATATCGCTATAAATTCTCACCAGACAACTTAGGGTCATGTAGATGAAGATTGAATGAAGTATTTTAGATGCAGCCAATGATTTGCCTTGTCAGATGGAAATTATTTTTAGCACTATAGCACTGATAAATTAGAGGGTCAAGGTAAACTACGCCACGAAATGAGAAACCTTTGAAGAACTACCTGGAAGAAGCCTAAATTGGCAAGCATTGGCAGAAAAAAGTAGAGACAGATTTTTGGAAAGAATTGGATCATAAAAAGACGTTCTGTCCTCAAAGGAAAATGTTCTTTCTATTCTCAGAGGAAAATCTATTCTGAGAAATTTTCAAGAAATTTTTCAACGATGATAGAAAAATATATAGTAAAAAAAAAGTTAATATATGCAGCTCAAATAACAGGCATAATTTTATATTTGCTTCCTATTGTTCCCCCCCCCCCCCCCCCGAGTGTGACCACAAACCATCTTTGCCCCACGCAACATACGATTGGTGCTGAGAATGAATACTATTGTGTTAAAGTTA